AGCCCGATGCAGGGCTCGATCCCAGGACCCTGGGATCATGACCTGAGCTGAAGGCAGACGCTTAACAACTGAGCCACCCAGGTGCCCCTAAAGAGTTTATTTATTTGTCAGAGAGAGGGAGAGAGAGAGAGCGAGCACAAGCAGGGGGAGCGGCAGGCAGAGGGAGAGAAGCAGGCTTCCCACTGAGCAAGGAGCCCGATGAGGGCCTCGATTCCAGGACCCTGGGATCATGACCTGAGCTGAAGGCAGGTGCTTAATTGACCTGAGCCACCTAGGCATCCTATCCTAGGCAAATTTTTTGAGTGTGTTGTTCCAGTGTCCTGTGACGGAATTTGGAGCTGGGGGTCAGCGTTTCCTGCTGCTCCTCATGGTTGGGACCAGTCGGGGAGCCTGGCCCAGGGGCCTCTGAGGTGCCTCTGAGCCCTGATGTTGCACCTGCTCCAACAATCCGAGGCCAGTACGTGGCCACCCACAGCAAAGCCGAGTGGAGTGGTGAGCCACTCACTAGTCCCACCTGTCACCTTCCCAGGGCCCCCTACGTGTACCCGAGAGAGAGCAGGGGTCCCACATGTGACCTGCAGGAATGTGCTCTCCTGGGCCTGGTGGGGACCTTCCTGCCCTCATAGGCCCTTGCAGCCTCCCAGGAGGGGCCCTGGCATCCCCATGTGGAGCTGGGCTGCATGGAACTACCCTCACTCCAGCCAGGGAGGGGTCGAAGCCTCAGCCTCTGCGCCCGTGAACCAAACTCTGAGTGCACAGATACGCCAAACCTCATACTCAGGCCCAGACCTGCACATGTGTGTGCTCAAACACGCACATGAGCATATCCTGCTTTGATCCCATGGACCCTGTAAGCTCCCCAGGAGCCTTCCTGGGATCCAGTCCCCTCTTGGAGGGCATGCCTCATCCTGAGGGGCAATGAGGGGCTGGGAAGTCTGCCCCCATCCCTGGCAGTGAGCTCCTGGCGCTCAGGGACCTCTAATTCATCAATAACCATTTACTGAAGGGCACAAGCAGAGACCTTGTCCCCACACAGCAACGAAATTAAGCATCGAGCCCTGCTTCACGCCAGGTACTGCTCTAAGCTCTTTAGCTTAGAGCTTAGAACTCACAGAGTGCTCTCAGTAAGCTTAGGAGGTAGGGACTACCATTACCCTCATGTTACTGAAGGGGAAACTGAGGCACAGAGATTCAGTGATGACAGTGGTGAATTCATTTGAGCCCTGTGAGCCTGACAACAGTGAAGGTTAAGAGACACTCCCCCCCCAACATAACTCCCCTTAGCCACATGACTTAGTTAAGGCTCATAGACATCCCCTGGTTTCCCTATATCCCCTGGTTTCCAAACTTCCATTCTTTACCGGGTAAATGATTAGCTGAACTGCTTGTCCCCACAGATCCGTCAGAACAAGGTGCTTATTAACCAAGCTACCTTCCTTCCTCCCCGGGTATCTGGCCCACCCTCAGCATGCGCCAGCTACAGCCCCCCTGGAAATAGTATTGCCATGGGGGAGAACTAGTCTACCTCCCCATCACCCATGTTCCCTTCCACTTCCCCACACCTGGTTCCTCTTGCCTCATTCACTCCTTTTTATAAAAGAAAAGCCCTTTTAGCCTGCCTCTAGAGATACCTGCAGAATGTACGGTCAGAGCTCTCCCTATTGCCAGAGCCCTCTCCCTCTCCACCCGCTGAAATCGTCCTTCCTCCCCCGCAACAATCCGTGTGAATGAAGCCGTTCTTTCCCTACAAAGCCGGGGGTTGCCAGGATGTATTTGGCAGCAACTTGCCCAAGTTCACACGGCTAGCAAGCAGCAGAGCAGGTTCAGACCCAGGCCTTCGGCTCCGGGGGCTGGGCTCCAGATGCTCTACTCACTGGCCCGTCGTGGCCCCTGCGCCCTCCACACCTCCGCAACCACGTGCAGACACACCTGCGGAACGCGCACCTCCGCCGCCCTTCTCGTGCATGGGGGTGGGGGGTGGGGGTGGGGCTCACGCATGCGCTCATCCTCACAAGGCGTGCCCCCCCCATGCACACGTGCGCATGCGCTCATCCTCACACAGGCGTGCCTCCCCATGCACACGTGCGCATGCGCTCATCCTCACACAGGCGTGCCTCCCCCATGCACACGTGTGCACGCGCTCATCCTCACACAGGCGTACCTCCCCCATGCTCACGTGCGTACGTGCTCATCCTCACACAGGTGTACCTCCCCCTCGTGCACGCGCACACACTCAACTCTCCCCCTCCCCCCCGCACAGCAGTGCTGGTCTTTGTGCCGGGAAAGGAAGGTGAGTCTGTGGAAAAGCTTGTAGCAGGTTTGATTGTGGGTCGACGCACCTGCATCCCTCCGCTGCCTGCCGGGATCTCCTGATCCCAAGCCCACGCGCGAGCTCTCCCGGGGCGCCCACCAGGCTGATGGCACTGCTACTCTCCATGGGGTGTGATTCAGGCCCCTGCAAGGACAGAGCGCAAGGGGGTGGAGGATCCAGTAGCTGGCTAATGGAGCTGGGGTAACGTGGGCCCCAGCGCTCAGGATCTGGCTGGCCGGTGGAGAAGGAAGGCCTGAGCGGCACACATCGAGGCGAGCTCCCTGTCCCTCCCGTCTGAGCGGAACCTCTGCCCCAGGGAGGAGGAGCCCAGGACCCTGCGCTTGCTTCTGGGTTCGAATCTTCGTCTGCTGCCTGCCAGCTGGATGGCCTTGGATGAGTTAACCTCTCTGAGCTTCAGTATTTTCATCTGTTACGCGAGGACAAAGAGGACAATTAAATAAGATGAGTTAATCCTTACTATGTGCCAGACACTGGGTCAAGGTGATTAGATGGGTTAATTTATTTGATCCTCTCAGTAACCTGCCAGGTTAGATTTTAGGACAAACCATGTGAAATTGCCATTTTTATAGGTCAAAAATAGTCAAATGCTGACAGATGTATTTAGTATAGCCTGATATTAGCATCCGTGTGTTACAGGTGAGGAGATGGAGACTCAGAGGGGGGACAAGACCTGCCCGAGATCACACAGCCATGGAGCAGCAGAGCTGGGATTTGGACCCAGGCCCACCTGGTTCCTCTGTTAAATGTCAATGCTGGGCCTTGGTGAGGAACAAACCAGCCCAGGGCAAGTGCTCAGCATGGCACCAGGCACACAGTAAGTGCTCAATAAATGCACTCTCTCTCCTTGTTCCTGCGGTGACTTCTCAGCTAAAATCTCCCTAGTCTAGACAATTGACTCCCCCATTCCTACCCCAGCCCCTCCCTCTGACCTGTTACTCACTCCAGTGCTGGGGTGAGATCAGGTGCTGGCCTCACCCAAACTTGACCCTCGTCCTTCACCATCGTCTAAATGCTTTCTGGCAAAGGCAGACCATCTTGTCTCAAGGAGTCTTCCTGGATGGGCACCTCCCTGCCAGGTGCACACTCCCCTTCTTCCTGGGCTCAGGTTCAACACCAAGTTCAACTGGTTCTGCATTCGCCCACAGAGGCCGTGTGCCTGCAGTGCTCAGTGGGGCTCTGGAGCCAGAGTGCTCCCCGAGATCATCAGCTAATGTCATGTGTGGGGCACTGGGCTAAGTGTTTTCTGTGTTCTCTAATTTTGTTCCCATAGCAACCCTTCGAGAGGGAATACTTTTATTCTATTCTATTTTGCAGTTGTTGAGACTGAGGCTTTCAGAATTAAAGTGACTTTCAGGGTTGAGGTGAACCTGAGAATGGAGGGGGCTGTGACCTCTGCCCAGGGGAATGAAGGGGCACATCCTGGCGGAGGTGATGTTTGGGGGGGGGGGCCTTGACAAGGGGCTGGCCTGTCAACAGGCAGGGGTAGGGAGGTGAGAAGAGAGGAGAAGATGAGCCAGGTGGAGGAGACCATGTGAGCAAGACTTGAAGACACGAGCAGCTCTGGGTGTTTTCAGAGTGGATGGAGGAGTGGGTGGTAAGCAGGGTGGGTGGTGGGGGCTCACAGCGTGACCAGACAGTGAGACCCTGGGACTGAAATCAGGCAGAGGGAGGAAGGTTGCTGAGGTCGGGAAGGAAGTCATGTCCCAGGTAAGAAGTGGGTCCTGACCATCTAGGAGGTCACTTCCACCCAGAACACTCTGATATTCCACTGTGCTAGAAGTCTGCAGTTCTCACATACCTGGGCTAAATGAGTCTACCGTTTTCATGTTTGTTACTTTGAACAAGTAGTGTCCTAAGATTGCCTAATCCTGACATTTTAATGGTCTGAGGTCATGTGTTTCTTCCATCGAAGCTTCTACTAAAGCAAGAGCTTACAAACTCAGAGGTTCTATAATTCACACCCGCTGAAGAGCCCTTTGCGTCTCAGATCCTGTGATTTGCAGATTCTATGATTAATTTCAGGAAGATGCTAAGCAGGTGGGTGGGGAAGGCAGGGACAAGGCTTGTGCATAAGCATCAACCCCCTCCTTGAGTGTCAAGTTTCCAAGGGCTGGGTACGGAAGAGGAATCAGGAAATATTTACAGAATGAATGTTAGGGTGAGAAAGGACAAGGCCAGCTTGGGGATGGGGGCTGGGGTGGTTCTGGGCCAGGTGCAGGGCTGGCGTTGGCACAATTAGGAGGAAAGGGTCAAATGCATTTGTGGGAAGTCCGCAGGAATTTGCAGATAAGGGTTGAGCATTTGAGCTCGTATTTGACGTTGGGACGACGTGGCATGCCGCGAAGTCAGATTTGCAGTCCAGCCCCCTGGCTGCTCTGAAGCCAGGATAAACCCCAAATGGAGGTGGACCAGCCTTTTTCATAGATGGCCAGCTAGTAAATATTTTAGGTGGTTTGGACCAAGATACGTATTGTTTTCTCTTAGCACAGATACAGCGTCATTGTAGAAGTACAATGCTTTGCCACTAAATTCAGTAACAATACACACACTCCCCTGTGCCTTAAGTGTGACGTCTGACCATCAACAGATGGAGGGATAAACATATTGTAGTAAATACATATGATGGAATATTATTCAGCCTTGAAAAGGAAGGGAATTACGACATCTGCTACAACATGGATGGACCTCGAGGACATTCATCCAAGTGAAATAAGCCAGTCACAGAAGGACAAATACCATATGATTCCACTTCTACGAGGTCCCTAGAGTAGTCAAATCCATAGAGACAGAAAGGAGAATGGTGGGTGCCAGGGGCTTGGGGAGGAGGGCATGGGGAGTTAGTGTTTAATGGGTGCAGAGCTTCCATTTTGCAAGATGGAAAGTTCTAGAGATGGGTGGAGGTGGTTGCACAACAGTATGAACGTATTTAGTGCCACTGAACTGTACACTTTGAAAAGGGTTAAGAGAGTTAAATTTATGTGGGGTGTATTTTACCACAATAAAAAAAATTGCAACATTCAAAGTCTACTTTTTTCTATGTTTTGACATGATCGGAATGCACCAGTTTAAAAAAAAAAAAAAGAATATCCTGTGGTGATCTGCACGCTGTCACCTCAGCTGTGTCACTGTGATTTGTCGCGCCCTGAGCGGCCACGCACGGTGAGCAGAGCGATGAGTTTGGAACTACTAAGCTCAGTGGCTGGGGGTGAGATCACCAGGGACAGTGTGTAGCGAACAGGCACGCTGTGTTCCCCTGAAACTTTATTTATGGACATGGAAACACAATTTCATTTAGTTTTCATGTGTCATGGAATATTCTTCTTTTGATCCCCCCCCCGCGCCCCAGAATCAATGTTAAAAATTGTTAAAATCATTCTTCGCTCGTGGGCTGTAGGGAAATCAGCCATGGGCTGGATTTGATTTGTGAGCTGTACTTGGTCAGCCTCTGGTCTAAAACATCAAGGTTTCTTGATAATATGGCCAGTGGCTTCCTTGGAGGATTGGTAATATGGCGGACTGACTTTTGGTCTGTTTGCTCTGAGTCCGTCGTTCTGCCTCCACGGGCAGGGAGGAATTCAGACTGCTTGGGCGCCACTTTGCCTGACAGCCCTTTCTCGGAAGAGAGAGACTCCTGGTGCTCTAAACATCTGGCTGGGATACTGTGGTCCAGGTCAGCTTCCTGGGGGAGAAACTCAGGGGATCAGGGGCAGGACAGGGTTTCAAGGCTGTGTCCCAGAGAGGAGCCCCTCCACCATTATGCTCTTGGATATTGGGGGCAGAAGGCTCATTGGTGCCCTCCACCAATGTGGTAGCTTTGGGTCTCTTGGTTCCATTCCCAGTTACCTCCTCTGTGAAATGGGGTAAGGGGGATGTCCACTGTGGGTGTTACTATCTTCATTGTTCAAGCAGAGAGCCTCCTATGTGGAGGTCAAGGTGTGCACTGAGCAAGCAGCAGGTACCAGGTGGGTCTGAATGTAGCTAAGGGCTGGGGTGGGGCAGACTGGAGGGGCCTGGAGCACTCACTGCCCAGATAGCTCCTACCTACATCACCGAAGACCTGGATTCCACCATCAGTGACACGATCCCCCCAATTGTGGCATGTTTCCTAACTCTGCAAGTTCCGCCATGTCCATGAATTATGACATGATTGCTACTTATATTATTGCCTACTTGAACAATTATTTACTTGATCTGTTGTCGTTAACTCACTTTTTCTTTTTTTTTTTTAACTCACTTTTTCAACATAAACTTAAGGACAGTTTATATCGATATCATAAGTGGAAAACCAGCATGGCTTGCCCTCAGTAGATTCCTATAAAATACATCTAAGGAAATTGAAATCATTTTTATTAAGGTCAAGCCAGAGACATTAGCTTGGCATAGGTTTGGAGAGCCTGAGACCTGATCTCTTCTTGCCTGAGAGGGAGATTGGCAAGTGTTAAAGACAAGACTAGCACCCACCTGAGATTCTCTCCTTGAGATGACCAGAAGGAACAAAGAGAATTCTAAAAGGAATTACTTGCTTCAGGGGAATTCAGTGCTACTTAATGCTGTGTTCATTTCCCTGCACCTCCTGAAAAGCATCTGGGGGACCACTAGTGACATTTTTGATACATCGGGGAACAAGAGAGTAAGTCACTGGCCTGCCTTAATGTGTTAGTTACTCCAGGGCTCGGTTACTCGGAGAGCATTATCAGAACAGGATACTTAAGGGTAAATGGTTTTGTTGGTTCCTTCCCCATGGTTGCTGATTGGATGAAGGGAGGAGGAGAGGTGGGTGGTAGCAGGAACAGGTTAGGGGGCAGTCACTGGGTAGGAGGGCTGGAGATAGGGCTCAAAGGAAGGGGGGCAATGCATCGGTAAAGAAACACTGAGTTTGGGGGATCTGCTGCTTTTACAGCAAGAAGAAGGAAGCCGGCTTCATCCTAGGGGCTGTTATCCCCTCACTCCTCCAGGTGCTTGCTGCAAACAGGAGCCTGAGACATGGCCTGAGTAGGGAGCAGTCAGGATGCTGCAGTTTTGGCAGAACCAGCAAGAAGGCACAGAGACGCTTAGGGCTCGTGACCAACTGCCTCTCCTAAGAGTGACATGGGTGGGTGTAGATCTCCCTGGGGACGGGAGGAGGGAAGAGGCTTTTTCCACAAGGGAGCTTCATCTTGCTCTTGAGCTATAGGAGCATTTCAAGTCTGCTTTCCAGGGTGACTTTCACTCCCTATGCCTTTCAGGATACAGCTAATCATCCTTATCAAAACACACTTGTTCCTTCCGTTGCTGAAGGACCGAGTATCTGCTATCTGCTGGGCACTGCGCTGACCCTGGAGATGCACCTGCTATGTGCTGGCCATTGTGTGGACCCTGTGAAGGGTCTGAGATCTTACCCTCCCTTTAAGCTAATACGCCACCTGTTACAGTTTCATGGACGCTGGCAGAAGACCTGAGACCCCACCTTGTGCTGGAGCCTGGGATTTGGGGATACATAGGGGCAGGTTCTGGCCACAAGGAGCTCTCAGTGGGGACACTGATACAGGTTTCAACCCAGTACCTGCTAGAGCAGGAAGTACCGTGGAAGGAGCAACAGGTGGGAACTGGGGAAGGCTTCCCAGAGGAGGTGGTGTTTGAACTGGGTCCTGAAGGACAAGCGGGAGTTTGCCAGGCAGAGGATAGAGAAGGGTGTTACTGGCAGGGGGGTGGGCTGTGCAGTCTGGAGATGTGAGCAGTCCAGAATGTTCCAAAGAATGGGTCTTGCCTGTTGGTCTTGGATCCAGAATCCTCCTCATTTAGCCACTTTCTTACTCAGCTACAGCACCTGTGGGGCAGGAGAGACCCCCCCCCCCAGCAGAGAGGGTTGGAAGCCCCCGACCTTGAGGATGCCTGAGTTCTGCCCAGCACAACATGAACTGTTGCCAGGGAGGGGCCGGAGGAGGGAGAAATGGTTAGGGAACACTTCCCAGAAGGAGTGAGTCACTTTATTTTAAGAACTATTTTAAAAATTATTATTGCAT